GATTCTTCTAGAGTCAGTTTTGATAGTTTGAGTTTTTCTAGGAATTTCTCCATTTCATCTAGGTTATCTAAATTTTGGCATACAATCCTTCATAGATTTTCTTTTTTTCTATATGATTGGTAATAGTACCCAATCTTTTGTTTCTAATTTTTATAATTTAGACTTTTTTTTTTTTTTGGTCATTCTAGCTATGGATTTGACAACTTTGTTGATCCTTCCAGGAACCAACTATTGTTTTTGTTAATTTCCTTTGTTGTTTTCCTATTGCCTACTTTATTTATTTTCACTTTAATATAATTTTATTTCTTCTGCTTGGTTTGGGTTCAGTTTTCTCTTTTTTTTTCTAGTTTAGTAAGATAGATGTTCAGGTTATTGATTTGAGATCTTTATTCCTTTATCCTATAGCTATTTACAGCTATGAATTTCCCTGTAAGCACTGTTGCTTTATTCCATCAGTTTTGATAGGATGTTTTTGTTTTCACTCCTTTCAAACCAGTTTCTAATTTCCTTTTTTGACTCATTATTTATGTAAAGATGTTATTTAATTACTAATATTTGTGAATTCCCTAAATTTCCTTCTGTTACTGATTCCTAGTTTGATTCAATTATGGTCTAAAACATACTTTGTGTGTTTATGGATATAACATATGGTCTATCCTAGAGAGTGTTCCATAAGCACTTAAGAAGAATTTATTCTGCTTCTGTTGGATAGAGTGTTCCATTGATGTCTTTTAGGTCTAGTTGGATTATTGTGTTGAACTTACCAGTTTTCCACAGTTGTTCTCTTATTGAAAGTGGCATATTAATGTCTCTCACTATGATTGTTGAATTGTCTATTTCTCCCTTTGGTTTCGTCAGATTTTGCTTCATGTATTTTGGGCTCTGTTGTGAGGTACATATATATTTACAATTGTTATGTCATCTTGACGAGTTGCCCTTTAATGATTAAAAACTGTCTTTTTTCATCTCTAGAAATGAATTCTCTATGAAAATCTATTTTGTGTAGCACACACAGCCATTCCATCTCTCTGTTGGTTGCCGTTTGCATGAAATGTCTTTTTATATCATGTGACTTTCAACCTAGTATTTATTTTCTTGCTTCTTTTTAGTTGACAAAAAACAATTGTGTGCACTTATGGGCTACAATGTGACCTTTTATCAATGTACACATTTCAGAAAGATTCAATCAAGTTCATTAAAATATTGATCATCTCACCAATTAACCACTTTTTGGGGATGATAATATTAAAAATCTATAGTAATTTTCAACTATACAATACATTGTCTTTAACTGGGATCACCAGTCTACTTAAGTCTCTCAATCCAAATTGTGTTGCACATAGAAAGCCTATAGTCAGATCACTTTTTTGGTCCAGTCTCAGTCTCGACCTTTTAATTGGAGCATTCAGTATATTTATATCAAATACAAATGCTAATAAGTTGGGAATTTTTCTCTGCCATTTAAAGATTTTCCTGCATATTTTGTCACTTTTTACGTTTATTCCTTCATTAATGTCTTTTCTTTGTTAAGTAAATGTGTACCGTTTTAATTCCCTTGTTCCTGTCACTACTTTTTTTTAAAAATTTATTTTTATTTATATGAAAGACAGAGTTACAGAGAGAGGTCGAGACAGATAGAGAGGTCTTCCATCTGCTGATTCACTCTCCAGATGGCCACAACGGCTGGAGCTGCACTGATCCGAAGCCAGGAGCTTCTTCCAGGTCTCCCATATGGGTGCAGGGGCCCAAGGACTTGGGCCATCTTGTACTGCTTTCCCAGGCCATAGCAGAGAGCTGGATTGGAAGAGGAGCAGCCAGGACTAGAACTGGCGCTGATATGGGATGTCAGCGCTTCAGGCCAGGGTATTAACCCACTACGCCATAGCACGGGCCCCTCCTATTACTACTTTTTTTTTTTTTTTTTGACAGGCAGAGTGGACAGTGAGAGAGAGAGACAGAGAGAAAGGTCTTCCTTTTGCCGTTGGTTCACCCTCCAATGGCCGCTGCGGCTGGCGCGCTGCGGCCGGCGCACCGCGCTGATCCGATGGCAGGAGCCAGGAGCCAGGAGCCAGGTGCTTTTCCTGGTCTCCCATGGGGTGCAGGGCCCAAGCACCTGGGCCATCCTCCACTGCACTCCCTAGCCACAGCAGAGGGCTGGCCTGGAAGAGGGGCAACCGGGACAGAATCTGGCACCCCAACCGGGACTAGAACCCTGTGTGCCGGCGCCGCTAGGCAGAGGATTAGCCTAGTGAGCCGCGGCGCCGGCCCTATTACTACTTTTAAAGTGAATATCATTGTGGGGATTTAAATCAGTATCTTAATGTATAACAATTCTGTTTGGGTCTCAGTAATACATGAAAGATTTGCTCCTATGTGACTCCATTCCTTCCCCTCCACTTTGATGCTGTTATGAAAAATCACATCTTTATACATTGTGTGCCCATCAACACAGATTTCTAGTTACTGCTTTATTTGGCTGCCATTTGAATTAGAGAGGATGAACAAAAAAGTTATCAGCAAAAATTTCATTTATATTTTTCAATTAACTTTACTATTATTCTCTATTTTTCATACGGAATGTCTTTTCATTTCAGTCTAAAGTACTTTTAGTGTTTCTTACACAAATTTATTCAGAATAAGTTTTATCTGAGAATATCTTAATTTAAGCTTTGTTTTTGAAGGACAGGTTTGTTGGATAGAGTTCTTGATAGATAGTCTTTGAGCACTTGGAATATGTCCTTCCACTGTCTTCTGGTCTCCATCATTTCTGGTAAGAAGTCAGCTGTTAGTGTTATTGAAGATCATTTATGCATGGTGAAAAGCTTCTCTCTTGCTGCTTTCAAGATCCTCTCTTTCTGTTTGGCTTCAAACAGAGTGAGTACAACGTGTGCATCTCTTTAAGTTCATCTTAATTTTGAGGGGCTTTTTGAGATTATTGTATGTATAGACAAATATTTTTCTACACAGTTAGGAATTGTTGGCTATTATTTCTTCAAATGTATTTTGCCTTTTCAGTGTCTCCTTTCCTCTAGGGACTCTAAAGTATAAATTAGTAGGCTCAATGGTGTCCTGTAAGTTTCTGAAGTTCTGTTTATTTTTCTTAATTCTCTTCTCTTCATGGTCCTCAGACTGGAAAATCTCAACTGACCTGTCTTTTTGTTCTCTCATTCTCATTAAACCTGCTGTTAATCCTGTCAAGCAACTCTCAACTCTAGAGTTTATATAACTTTAAATTATTTATATATCTATACTGTATTCCCTATTTGATGAGGCATTTTTCTCATGCTTATTTTTTATGTTGTTTCCTTTAGTCTTGAAAAATTTTAAAGTAGTTAGTTGAGAGTCTTTGTTTAGTTAGTCCATAGTCTGAGTTCCTCAGGGAAAATTTCTGTTGATTGTTTTTTTTTTTTCCTGTGCATGAGTCATACTTCCTTGTTTCTTTGCATGACTCATAAGATTTTGTTAAAACTTGAAATTTAAATAATATAATGTGCTACCCTGAAAATAAAGTTTCTCCCTTCCCAGGATTTGTTGTTCTTGCTGCTTATTGTGTTTGTTTTGTGACTTTTCTGAAATTATTCTCTAATGTCTGTATTGTTTGCAATATGTAAAAGGACTGCAAAATGTTTGTGGAAGATTGGAATTAAAAGTTTATATTAGTGCAAAGGATTAATGTAGTCCATGCATATTTTTTTCATAATACTCATTGTCCATGAACTTTTATAAAATTCCTTGTATGTCCACTGATTACTCTGCTTGGTTTGCTTATTATTCAGCTGTTAGTTCATTTTCCATAAGCCTTTTTGTAAGACTCCTCCTATGTCAGTCATGGCTCTATTTGGCTTGATTACTATTGGAGAGAGAGTTCCTAAATTCCTGGAACCACAAAGTCTGTGTGTGTGTGTTGGGGTACTCCTTCAATCCTCAGCCAGGTAGTTGACAACTCGACCTTGGCCTTCATTTTCTCCTGTGCCAAGCCTCAAGGTCAGCTAGAGTCAAGAGTGTAAGGAATCGTCACATGTGTCCTGAGCAGACACCAGGCCCTTGGCATGCACACAGCTCTGCACATGCATGTGGTCTTCTAGATTCCAGAAACTCTTCAGAGCTCATGCGAGTCTTTAGGAATCATTTCATCGTCCAGCTTTCCTCCTAAGCTTTTTGATTAGCCTACCATTCGACCTAAATGTTATACAGCTGCCTCTAATTGTTTTTGACAGATGTCCCTGGGGAAGAGAATTTTTGCCCTGAGCAAGCTCCAAATCAGGTCAAATAAAGACAGCCTTGGCAGCTGGGTCTTCAAGGAAGGATCAGACGGTTCGAGTCACGATCATCCACTGGGAATAGGTCTTCGCTGGCATTGTGGGCTGTTGGTTTTCAAGGCTACCAGAGACATGGAAATAGGGTGATTTAAATGCCACAGCGATACTGTTCTTATAGCTGTTTGTTTGTTCATGTTTTTCCTTAAACAAACATTCCCCGGGTCATTTCAAGCTTCTGGTTCATTTCCAGAGTACTGAAAAAGTTGGTTTTTAAAAAGAATATTTTTGTGTCAATCTTCTTGTTGTTTTTATTGAAGAGAGAATTTTCAGAGTTCCTTACTCTACCATCTTCTCTGCTGCCACTAAATCTCTCTATTTTTTTTTAGTTGATTTTGTTTCCAGTAAATTTCATGACTTATTGAAATGAGTACCAGGGCTGTAGGAATCTGGTTATCTTTAGGCATAAAGATATTTCTTCCTTATTTCTTCCTTAGTTAAAGTGTACTTTAACAAAACAACCTCTTTCAAATATGGTAGTAATTTTCCAGTAGATAGAACTCTGAGTGAGGCAGGGCTACTTGACCAAACCACACACCTACTTCTCAAATACACCCGAGAACCAGGTGGCTGAGGGAGCAGGGACTAAACTCTCTCTCCTTGGAACAGGTACCAACACTAGACTTTAGTTTTGACTGCAAGCTCACTTTTTGGCTAAAGCCTTTGAAAATGCTCTTTTAACAGAATGCAGAGTCTGGATGAGCCCTGGACAGAGGAAGAGGGGGAGGGCTCAGACCACCCATACTACAACAGTGTTCCCAGCAAGATGCCTCCACCAGGGGGCTTTCTTGATGCTCGACTGAAAAACAGACCCCATGCTCCTGACACAGCTCAGGTGAGTCTCAGACTTTTCCGTTTGATGGAGACTAGCTGAAATTTTGTATTTTCTTCCATTTTGGTTCAGACTGACATTCTGTTCAGTGTTTGACACAATAACACACCAGCTTTCCTTCATTGGCTTTCACAAGCATACAAAGAGTAAATGCTACTTTTTTAACATTACAAGGCATTGGCCCAATGCTCTGGAAATACATTGTGTCTCTGATGTATGGATCTGAGGTCTTCTCCCTCCCAGGACCAATCCCATCATGATGTGATCCTAGTGAGGGGAAGACAGAACTTAACGCTTTTAAGAGGCCTGGAGTGAAGAGTGGTTATGGGTTCTTAAACTGATGGGAATTACGTTCTTCTGTTTTATTCATTCCCCTCATTTCTCTCTAAAATTCTAGTAGGGTGACTGCTTTCTAGAGTCATGTTTCATTATAGAAAAATTTCAGTTTACTCTACCTTATGTCAGTAATAATAGAGTCAATAAAAATGGCAACATAACAATGAAATCAAAGATCTGACAGGAAGAGGAATTTCTTGGTCTTCACGGAGTAGACTTGCCCAAGTGTGAACCATTATGGTTATGTGTATTGGGTGAGAGGTGCCGATGGTCCTTGTCTTATGATGATTGAACTTACAATTTTTTTTTTTTTTTTACTTTATGATGGTTTTAAAGAATGATGCATTTAGTAGAGTAAGAATTGAGTTTGAATTTTTCCCCGACAGTGCTATGTGGTCCCATCCTCGCTGGTGACACTGGGTGGCAGCAGTGAGCCTAGTTTGGGGTCAGTCCCGTGGTCACCAGGGGAGTTGCCTGAGGGTTTACAGGGTGCTGTGCTGTTGAGCTGGGATGTACAGGGGGTGTCTAGGGGAAGCAGTGCATTGTGGACAAATACTCTTTTCAACTGCAGAGTGGGTTTGTTGGATTTACAATAACCCTATCATCAGTGGAGGAGCGACCGTATGTCCTGACATACAAGTGCCCTCTTGCTGAAGTTTTTCTGAGACATGTTGAATGCTATGACCGTCTATGGAGAATTCAATTTTACAGTTCCACATAGGGAGGAGTTTTGGGGGTTATAAAAACAAGGAGGGGTGCATGTGTCGTTTTGGTGGAGATGCAGCCTTTTCCTCACGTGCACACATATTAATGCCAACCCTGAGACATGAAGGCAGCAGAGAATGCAGGCATGTCCCATCTCTGTGGTCCTGCCTCCGTCCTGTGGCATTCCAAGACGGGGACATGGGAAAAAGTGATTCTTCTGTTTATTCACATGTGTCTGCAGTTTGCAGGGAAAGAGCAAACTTACTACCAGGGAAGACACTTGGGAGACACATTTGGCGAAGACTGGCAGCAGGCACCTGTCAGGCAAGGTGAGGAACGTTTATGAAAAATCCCTCCACCTAGTGGGGCACCCACTTCCTGTGGAGTGGCAAGGTGATTCCCTGGAAGCGTTTGCTGTGGGTAGTGTATCTGTCTGCATTGTGTTGCTGTAGTGATATTACTATTAAGTAAAGTTAATTAATGGGTATTAATTTCTTGTGAAGGCAGGGCCCCTCGCTGACCTAATTAGCTTTCCTTGGGCTCTGCCTCTTCAAGGTCCCACCTCCTCCCCACTACAGTAGTGGTTAAGCTTCCAGCATAGAAGCTCTGGGGGACAAGCCACATCCAAACCATGGCAGGAATGCAGTAGATTCCTGACAAGAGCATAGAACTGGAAACAATGACTGTCACAGATCCAGTGGTGCCTCCCGCAGCACCAGGTCTGGTTCACATTCCGTCAGCACTTACTTCCCCTGTGCACCTGCGACTGTCACTGGAAGGCGTCCTCTGGTGGAGGACAATTTCCTTGCCCAAGGCTGCTGAGCAATGGACATCCCAGAAGCATCCGTTGATGCTTCACGTTTGAATTGGGGAAGTGACTCCATTGTGTGTTTTCTTCCATTTCCAAGTTCCTGCTGCCTCTCCTCCTTGTCTCATCCCCTTCTCACCTGCCCTCCACCCAGAGTCAGCTTCAGGAAGAACATAACGACCCTTGCCCTTGGGTGGGCATTGATGACAGAAGTGGTGCCAGGGCTATTGGTCTCCTGGGTGCTTTTAGAGGATGCTTCCATGTCTTAGCACCCACGACAACAGACACCTGCAGCACACCCTGAGAATAATCTACCTGGAACTGTGTCTAACTATCTGTAATCTAGATGCCTAAAAACAACTTAGATACATCAAGCTATCACAGTAACAATTTAGACAGAAGGAAGAACTAACTGCTAACTTCTCACATAAGTGTTTATTCGCTAGGCAGTTATTTGTATCCATTCATATATGTGTATCTATCATCTATCTATAAACATCTATCAAGTATCTATCACCTCTCAATTACTCATCTATCCACTATTAATAAATTATCTACTATTTATACCTATTATCTAGCTAACCATTCATCTATCATTTATCTATCTAGTTATCACCTATTTATCTAGCATCTATCTATCTATCTATCTATCTATCTATCTATCTATCTATCTCTACTTTAAAGATGTGTTTTGATTTCAAACTTTTTTGCCCTCCCAAACATTTTTATACATTTTTCAGTAGCTCCCAATCCTGACTTCTAGATGTGTAGGTTCTCAGGCAATGGAGCCCCCTGGTGTGTCTGTGCATATGAATTTAACATGAGTGTGTCCACCTGCCCTGGCATAGCACCCGCTGCCTCTGTCTTTAGTTGGGAAAGTTCTGCCCGAAACTTATTCACTAGGCGTTCGATCCTCCCCTTTAACAATTAGTTTGTGAAATGCTGTTCTGAGCAATGACTTGTTTGCAAAGTATACAAATGTTTAAGCTGTAACTAGCTGCTCCTAAGCAAGGTTACATAACCCAGAACAGCCCCTCTAACATAGAAATTCCATGTGGGACTAGGAGCTTAGGATTTGTACACTTTGAGCTTTCGTGGGTGTTGTTGCCTAGCAGAGAAATATTTGCGCGGCTCCTCCTTCTCCCTTGGGAAGCAAAGGTTGGGTGCCAAAGGGCTCTTGGGAAAGCTCTTCAAAAACCCTGAACCAACAGCATGCCAACTCTGTAGGGCCAGCTTCACCACACCACTGCCCATAGGCTGTGACAGACACGCTCCTTCCAGAAACGTGTGTGCCACAGATGTTCTTGGGAATGTTTCTGTAAGTGGATTGGAGCCAGGGCACATACAGAACAAGTGACCCAAGCAGGTGTTCCGGGGCAACAGCTCTGAGTGACAGAACAGGCAGGATCCCCAGGAACCAACCTCAGCCACCCTACTGGGGAAGTCCCATCAAGGCCATGTCCTCGATCACACACCTGTCCCAGACTCAGCAGTGCCGGCTCTGTTTTGTAAGGAGGGCATCTCATTCTAAACACAGCCTGCGTGGTGGTGCTGACACTTGACGTGAGGCTTGTGGTTCTGCTCAGTTCTTTGATTTGGGAGGATTTTGTAAGGGATAGGATATAGGGCACCTTCTGCCTGCTCAGCTCCCATAACCCCAGGGCAGCGAGGCTGTGAGTCCTCGGTGTGTCCCTGCGTGATCCATGTGCACCCTGACATTGGCTGGAAGATCCCACGTGGATGTGAGCGACTGGAGAGCATCCTAGGCAGGACACAGCCGTGCGCTGTGACAAGCTCAGAAGAGGGGCCTTCGTCCACTTATGCAAACATGCACTCTGCAGCGAGGATTTTCTAACTGGGGGATGGTGGCAGGCTGACTACAGAGTCTCCACTGGTGCCGCCGTCCTAACAGGAGAGGGCTCATTCTCTTGTTGCAGGGTCCTTGGACATCTACAGCACGCCAGAAGGGAAACCACACATGGCCCCTGCGGGAGAAGCACCCACCTACGTCAACACCCAGCGCATGCCCCCACAGGCCCAGCCGGCGGCCACCAGCAGCGCAGAGAGCAGCCCACGCAGGGACCTCTTTGACATGAGTGGGTTTCCCTTTGTCTCTGGTCTTTTCTTCTGAGGTTGCTTTGTCCCCTGCCTTGTAGGAGGGCTCTGTGACGTTATTGAATTTTCTGCCAGTAGGGTCTAATGAGTAGTGCTGATTACCTGTCCATTGCTGGGTGGGGGACCAGGCCTGGGGAAGGCTTTGAGATTACAGGGCCCTCTGCAGTCGCGAGGCACAGCCGCCCCGATTCCTGCTTTGGGGAATTGACTTTCCTCTTGAGGATCGGCAGGTGTATTGAGACCCATGATACATAAGGAAATGGGTCCATTTATTTATCCATTTAAATAGTAATTGCTACTAAGTGCCAACTGCCATGTCCTTGTCTCCCAGAACTCTCGCGACCTGTGAAACAAGACGAACCTATAAATGAGAAATTGCAATATGCTCCTCTCTCACGAGGGTACTCCCTCCTGCCCTCTATTTCTTTATTTCTATGTCTCTCTGCCCCCTCTCCAAATATTTGTTAAACACCTGCCATGTATCAGAAGTCTGGCTACTTACTGGCAATGTAAAGGAGCCCCCCCTCCCACATCTTACCAGGCCCTGGAAGACTAGCAGGATCAGTAGGTGGGGAATGTGGTGTAGACGGCTAGTTTGGGGGATGTGCACCATGGATGTTCTGTTCATATTTCTCTTCACTTTCTGGTCGCATTGATTAGGAGAATGAAATCATTCATGAACTGATTCATGAGCATGGAAATCGTTGTTAAAGAATTTGGGAAGAGTTCCCGGAGCGGGGGGGGGGGGGGGGGCGGGGATCACAAAGAGCTTTATATCCTTGCATTTTCTTTCTGAATTCCTTGAGAATTGTCCAAGCTTAAGAGGGTGGGGAAGAGATCAGCACTGAAGGAGATTCTACCACATATTAGGCATCTCTGATATTTTTTCATTTTCACAATGACTTTCCAGTAGGTATTATTAAGTCTATCACTACCCTATTTTACAGAGAAGGAGATGGAGAATGCTAGAGGATAAGTAACTATACCCCCTTTTAAAAAAATATTTCTGGGGCTGGCACTGTGTCGTAGTGGGTAAAGCCACTGCCTGCAATGCTGGCATACCAAATGGGCGATGGTTTGAGACCAGGCTGCCGCACTTCTGATCCAGCTCTCTGCCATGGCCTGGGAAAGCAGTAGATGATGGCCAAAGTCTTTAGGACCTTGCACCCATGTGGGAGACCTGGAAGAAGCTCGTGGCTCCTGGCTCCTGGCTTTGGATTGGCGCAGTTCCGATCATTGCAGCCAATTGGGGAGTGAACCAATGGATGGAAGACCTCTTTCTTTCTCTGCCTTTCTTTCTCTCTCTGTGTAATTCTTTCAAATAAATAAATAAATATTTAAAAACATTTCTTTATTTTATTTGAAAGACAGAGTTGCAAGAGAGAGGGAGATGGAGGGAGAGGAAGACACACACACACACACACACACACACACCCCTTCTGTCCACTGGTTCACTCCCCATATGACTGCAACAGCCAGGACTGGGACAGGCTGAAGCAGGATCCAGAAATTCCATTCAGATCTCTCACATGGGTGCAGGGGCCCAAGTACTCCACCCATCTTTTGCTGCTTTCCCAGGTGCATTAGCAGGGAGCTGGATCAGAAATTGAGCAGCCAAGACATGAATCAGGGCTCATAAGGGATGCCAGCGGCACAGGTAACAGTTTAAATTGCTGCGCCACAACACCAGTCCGGTAACCTTAAAGGACAGCCTCACTGGTCAAACACTTGCTGTCGTGGTATTGTAAGTCACAACAGGGATCAGAGCTTTTCTGCTGAGGCTGCATTGTGACACCAACCCTCTGTTTGTCCTCAGCCAGTGTGGCTTCCCAGACACTGGACTCCTGATTCGACTCACAGAAATCACCCGAGTGAGAAGAGCTGCAGAATCTCAATATTTAGAGCCACTGTACAGATAACCTAATCCAATTACTTTATTTTAAAAATGTGGAAACAGTCCAAAAAGGTGAAGTCACTTTTCCAGGATGCAGAGCAAAGTTCTGGCTCTCTGAACCTCTGCCCCAGGCATTACAGTATCTCCCCACTGCAGTTCAGTCATTGTGTTCATGGTTAGACCATTTTCACTAGTTAATGTGGTCATTTTACCAGTGACTCTTGGCTCTAGAACCCAAGGAGAGTTAGATTGTGCTGATTTTTGAGATGAGAAAGATGAAAACAAGAACCCATTTCCCATCAATTAGTTTCTACACTTGCTCCCAAAACCAGAGAAGAGAAGAACACAGATAAGATGTTGGAGAGGCCAGTGCGTGCTGAAAAGTCTGGAGATGAAAAGAGCCAGCATTTGTGTTGTTATCTTAAACCACTAGAGTGAGATAATGGTGTTGGTAATAGTTATGATGATAATTTGGATGGTGCATTTGGTGATGCTGATGCTGATGTAGTTTGTGATCATGTTGGTTATGGCGGTGATGACAATGATGATGGTGATGACAGTGTAGATAGTGATGACAACTGTGGGTGGTGATGATGGTCATGGTGATGATGATGTAGATGGTGATGGTTATGGTTCTGGTGATCATGATGATGGTGATGGTGACGGTGATGGTGATGACAGTGTAGATGGTTCTGATGACTGTGGATGGTGATGATGGTCATGGTGATGATGATGTAGATGGTGATGGTTATAATTCAGGTGATGATGATGGTGATGGTGATGACAATGTAGATGGTTATGATGACTGTGGATGGTGATGATGGTCATGGTGATGATGTAGATGGTGATGGTTATGGTTCTGGTGATGATGATGGTGATGACAGTGTAGATGGTAATGATGACTGTGGATGGTGATGATGGTCATGGTGATGATGTAGATGGTGATGGTTATGGTTCTGGTGATGATGATGATAATGATGGTGATGATGATGGTGATGACAGTGTGGATGGTGATGACGGTCACGGTGATGATGATGTAGATGGTGATGGTTCTGGTTTTGGTGATCATGATGATGATGATGATGGTGATGATGATGATGGTGATGGTTATAGTGAAGATGATGATGATGTAGATGTTGATTATTGGTTCAGGTGATGATGACAATGATGATGCTGATGATAATGGGGATGATGTAGATGGTGATGGTGAAAATGATGGTGCTGGTGTTGGTGATCACCATGGTGTTGGCAGTGATGATAGTACTGGCGATTAAAGTGAATGTGGGGATAACGGGGATGAGGACTAAGCTGGTGATAATAGCAAAGTGTTGATAGTACAGAAACAGTGTAATATAAATTTTCTACCAATCCAAGTAATCAGAAAACTAAGATAAAAAAGGAAAGCCTGCAGACTTAATTTTAGCCATTAGTTTTAACCTCTTTCCCCACCCCCACTGCCCAGCTAAATCTGCACGAGCTATAGCAAGTGTCAAGAAGACCTAATTTTGGTTTCATTTATTCACCTCATCTCCATCCATTGTCTACTGACATTTAGCAGACTGAGCTTAGTCTACAGCATGTGTTGGATATTCAGAATGTGAACTGCGTCCCGGGAACTGTCCTGCCCAGGGGAAGACCGTTCCTGGTGCTTACGCTGTCCAGGGTAGGCAGTGTGGTCCAAAGCAATCCTCAGAATCCCTGGCACTTGCAAAGCACTGTACATTTTCCAGGGTGCTTTTAGCATATCCTTATTTGAATATCAAACATAGGGATTTAATCAGACACGCCTAGCTGCTTCTTTTGCCACTGGTAGAGCAGCAGTCTCACCCTTCTGATGCTCTGCACTGAGAAGTGTGTTCCCAAGGGGATGAAGCCAACCTTGGTCTCAGGCACTCATGCAAGAGACTTTTCCACAGGGGAGCGAGTGAAGGTCAAAGGGAGGCAGAGCTCCTAGCCTAGAGCAAGTCACGTAAGAGGCACTCAATACATGTGACTACAGAATGTTTGGTGCAGAGATTTTGAAATGAAACTTTGGTGAGTTTGGTTTATGTTTTGCATGGAATCAAAGCTTTGTGGCTTACTGTGTCCTGTAGCAGTGACAGGTTTTTATACAGAAATTGTTACAGAGGTTGGCTGATGTTCCAGAGAGAGTAGATGGGACACAGTGTACATGGCCTCTTACAGTGCGCAAAAACGAAGTCTTTCTACAAAGCTAGACAAGAAGGAACCTGAGTCCTCGGCACCATGCACACCTCCTGGCTGTCTGGGGAAAAAAAGCAGACTCATCAGAGAGAGTCACGACAAAATTTGGGCTGTGCTTCTAAATACATGTTACGCCAAGTCTTATCATGTTACCAGCCGTTTATTTTCCTTACTTTTTTTCTTTAAAGGTTTATTTATCCATTTGAAAGACAGAGTAGCAGAGAGAGAGAGAGAGAGAGAGAGAGATACAGAAACCTATCCACTTGTTCACTCCCCAAATGGCAGCAGTTGGGTCTGGGCCAGACTGAAGCCAGGAGCCAGGAACGCCATGCTAATCTCCCCCGTGGATGGCAGGAACTCAAGTACTTGAGCCATCATTTTCTGTGTCCCAGGCACATTGACAGGGAACTGGATAGGAAGCAAAGTAGCCAGGACGCAAACCAGTATTCTAATGGGGTGCAGATGTCCCAAGCAATGGCCTAACCCACTGCACCACAATGCCCACCCCTGTAGTGTTTAATGGAAGAATTGCCTTTGCATTTCTGTCTCTCACATTGTGTTTTTATCACTCGGCCTGCTCGGGACTGACTTTGCTGGCAAATGTTGTTGACAGAACCTTTTGAAGATGCTCTCAAGAATCAGTCCTTAGGGCCTGTGTTGAACAAGGCAGCCTCCGTGGAGTGCATCAGTCCTGTCTCACCCCGAGCTCCGGATGCCAAGATGCTGGAGACACTGCAGGCCGAGCCTTGGTACCAAGGAGAGATGAGCAGGAAGGAGGCGGAAGGGCTGCTGGAGAAAGATGGAGACTTCCTCGTCAGGAAGAGCACCACCAACTCCGGCTCCTTCGTCCTCACAGGCATGCACAACGGCCAGGCCAAGCACCTGCTGCTTGTGGACCCTGAAGGCACGGTGAGTGCACAGCCGTGCGGGTCAGGGCCTGCCACGTCCTGGTCACTCCTTCAGTAGAGCCCAGGGACAGGGGACTTAGGCCTGGTCAGGGCCCTGTGCTAGTTACAAAACTTGCAAAATCGTCATGGTCCAGTCTGAAAGCCTTGACACCCTTCTTTTTTTTTTTTAAATCTATTTTATTTGAGAGGCAGAGTTAGACAGATGACACGCTGATCCACTCCCCAAGTGCCCACGGCAGTTGAGGCTGGGTCAGACCGAAGCTGGGACCTGGGAACTCAGTCCCATCTCTCAGGCAGATGGGACCCGACTATCTGAGCCATCATCGGCAGCCTCCCAGGGTGCACACTGAACAGAAGCTAGAATCAGGGACCAGAGCCAAGAATTGAACCCCGGCACTCTGATATGGGCAGTGACCATACCACCTGGCGGTTTAACCGCTAGTCCATTTCACGTCCTTTAAAATGAACAAGTACTGAAACACTGGATCACTATGTGATGTAAAAAAAAAAAAAATGTTGTGTCCCTAGTTCATGTCATATTCAAAAGTACCTTCAGCTGGGATTAAAACCTAATTATGAGGGCAGGTGTTTGGCTTAGTGAATGGGACGCTGGTTAAAATGTGTCCATTCCAAATGAGAGTAGCTGGGTTCAATGCCTGGCTAAGTCTCCCAGTTCCTGTTTCATGCTTTGGTTGCGCTCCTGAAGGTAGTGGTGATGGCTCAAGTAATTGGATTCCTGCCACCCACATGGGAGACATGGATTGAGTTCCTGGCTCTGGGCTTCAGCCCCCAGCTTATTCTGCCACTGTGGGCATTTGGGGAATGAAACACTGGATGGGAACTTTGTCTCTCTCTCTCTCTGCCTCTCAAAAAAAAGAAAAGAACCTAAGTGTGAAAGATGTAACTATAAAGCTATAAAGGGAGAACATTTTCTTCCAAGTAACATCACAGTGGGCAGGAAGTTTAGACCCCTGGGCTTTAGGTATTTGTCTCAAGTGCAATCACTGAGCTTTTTGCGTGAAGCCTGCAAAATGTGATGTAGCAGTAGATAAAGCCCCCAAGGATTAGTCTCTTCTCACTCAGAGGAGCAATGCCTTGTGACGCTGTTTGGCTATCATTGGCATTACAACTGGGTCCGAATAATTCCATGAGTTCAGCTGAATTTTCCATCTTCCAGTCAGTAGATACATTTGGCTTCATCCTGGCCACAGCCCAAGTAGTGCTGCTGGGTTTAATAAATGGAATGAAATCAACCTGGGCACTGAGTAAATTCCAGGACTGCTGCTTAAAACCTGGCATCCAGTGAAAACAGGAAGGCAGGGTAGGGTTGTCTGAGCAGGACTTGAGAACATGGCTTTTCCTGACTGATAGGTAGGGGTGGAACTGTAGCCTTCAGTGGGACTGGCACGCAAGGTAATGGTGGATGGGCTGGGGTGCAGGTGGGGCATCGGGGCAGGGTTACCGCCCAGACTGAACTGCCCATACAGCTCAGCTCTTGGCCCTCTGAACACCTGGCCCTACCTAGTTCCAGTGGGGCAGCTGCCTCGAAAGGACAAAATGTAAAGTCACCACTTCCCCCACGCTACCTGCTCTCGTTTTTCTTTTTCAGTATCTATGTCATGTGCAAAAATGTATATTTTTTTGTCTATGCTTTTTAGAAATCTGCAAATGTGATATTGTTCCCTTTCATTGTTTCCTTTTTCCTTGAAGCACACTGTGGGTTTCTGCCAATGGTGCTCTCTGCATTGGGTCATAGCTTTGGAGGGCTGCACAGGGTCCCCTCGTGCACACACTCCACGTCTCTCACTGAGCTCTCTTGAGAAAAATACCCAAGCTGCTGCCAACCTCCGTGCGTGTTTTCCCTATACCAGGGATGGTCTCTCTGGGCAGGTACTGGGGTGTTTTAGATCATAGGGTATGGGTACATTTAATTTCATAGGATTTGCATTTGCTTCCAGAATGGCTGGGCTTCTGAGCTACATACCAGCAGACTGGGGGGCCCCACATCCTTGCTATTTCCTGAAATTGGCTCTCTAGTTTTATTAACTGGATGTAAAGAGGCAAGGGATATCTCATTGTTGGTTTTATTTATTTATTTATTTATTTTCTTTTTTTTAACTTTTATTTAATGAATATAAATTTCCAAAGTACAGCTTATGGATTACAATGGCTTCCCCCCCCCCATAACTTCCCTCCCACCCGCAACCCTCCCCTTTCCCTCTCCCTCCCCCCTTCCATTCACATCAAGATTCATTTTCAATTCTCTTTATATACAGAAGATCAGTTTAGCATACATTAAGTAAAGATTTCAATAGTTTGCATCCACATAGACACACAAAGTGAAAAATACTGTTTGAGTACTAGTTATAGCATTACATCACAATGTACAGCACACTAAGGACAGAGATCCTACATGAGGAGTAAGTGCACAGTGACTCCTGTTGTTTATTTATTTTCAATTTTGGTTGTGCTACCTTGGCAGATTAGCAGATTTCTCCTGTCAATTTTATGTTTTTGTCTTTTCCCTCTGTTTTTCTTTTGACTTTCTGATTGAGTTTTTTGGCAATGGAATTTCCATATATATTCTCTTGTGCTTTCCACCTGACACTTTGTGATGTTCTTTACCAAACAGAAGTCTTTCTTGGGAACGTAGCAGAATCTGTCAGTTTTCCCCTTAGCGGCTTTGCGTTTTAACACCTGCTTTACGAACCACAATATCCCAGGATTTGATGTTGTCTCCTATCAGCTTTATAGCCCTGTCGCTCACATCTGGTTTTCACGCCGACTGAAGGAACTCTGGCATATGAGACGAGAAAGGGACCCAGCATTTCAAACTTCTCTGTGTAGTGCGCCCGTGTTTCTGCCTCCGTGGACCAAGCCATGTGTCTTCACTGAGCTCCACGACGTGGAGTTCTCTCTGAGTGGGCCCCATCCCAGAATCTCAGTTCTGTTCCAGCGGTCCGCTCCTGATTCCTTGTGTAAGTGTGGCAGGTGCTGTTGGAATCTTTCAAGTCTCCAGCAAAACACATGCCGGAATCTTGACAGGATGTGCATTGAACATGTGCATTCGTTTTCGGAGGAACAGATGCTTTCCAGTCCTGGACCATCAACCGCATCCATGATGGGAGTCCCCACATACTCGGCTTATAAGATGTCTTTTAGTGCTGTTTTAAAATTCTCTCCAGAAAGTTCATCTGTTTCCCGTGGTAGGTTATTTCCTGGTGCCTAGCTTTAGTTCCTTGTAAATAGGTGTGGTTTGTAGTGACTTCCTCAACCATGACTGCTGCCCGAAATCTTGGTGACTCCTGCGGTGACACAGGATCACAGGTCCCGCCTCTGCCAGTTCATCTGCTGCCTTCTGAGATCCATCCGTCCATCCCTACATCGCATCCACTGAGCAGGAGTGCCTTTACGTGTTGACTAAGAGAGGAACCTTTGTAAGTTCCCACCCTCAGAGGGAACATTTAGATGGTCTCTGGTTTCTTTTTTTTTTTTTAATTTTTTTTTAACATATAATTCTTACCCATTTTTATGGGTCAGAGTACAATATTTCAACACATATACAACAGCATAAATGGATCAAGCCAGACCACTGGCTTTTCTATCTCCTAGATGTTTCTTTGGGTCTGGAGCCCATCAGTTCATCCTAGAGAACCTAGGGCTGTGAGCTGCAGTCATCCCACCCTGCCGTGGAACTGCGGTCCTTGTTACTTCTTCTGTGTTTTAGCGCCTTCTCTCCCACCCCCACCAGACCCCTCCCCAACTCTTCCCAGCCTCTGGAAACCAATGTCCTACGCTCATGCCAACTTTTAAAGACTTAAACATCTTTAAAGATTTAAACATCTTAAAGATTTAAACATCTTTAAAGATTTAAAATCTCCCCATATGAGAGAGAGGGTGCCCTGTTTGTCTTCCATGTCTGTCTTGTCTGTATTCTGTTAGGAATTTCAGCAGGCTTTTGGGAAATTAGCAGCCTAAAGGACTTCACTCATTCATTCAACAAATACGTATTGAATGCTGACTAAATATAAACGTTATTTTTAATACTTGGCATACATCTGGACCAATTTAAAAAGAAGATCTCAGCTCTTGTGGGACTTACACATTAACCACCTGATTACTTACGTCACACCTAGGTGTTGAATTTTATCAAATGTTTCTCAGGGTTTTTCTAGATAATAATGTGATGTTTTTGCTTAAATCCATGAATATAGAAACCTACAGGAGTAGATTTTTCTGATGTCGCAATCCTGTCATAAATTCTGTTTCTTCCTGATGTGGTTATTGGGAGATATTGTGGCTGGATTTGGGAACCTAACGTTGTCCTTAGGATTTTTTTTTTTTTTTTTTTTTGAGTCTCTGTTCCTAAGTGAACCCAGTCTTAGCTGTCTGCTGTTATCACTTGTCTGTGCTCATCTGTGGTTAGCAGGGTGGCCCGGTCATGGTAACCACTGAAGAAGAGCTAGGCTTACTCCAAGCAAAGAGGGTAGTCTTCCCTAACTGATCTCAGACAGAATCCCCTGGACACTCCCCACTCCTTTACCCTGATTTATTTCTGCTTTAAAGTGCTTACCACAAAGTTGCTCACTACTTGGCTGCCCTTCTCCCACTGGGCCAGACTTGCCATGAGGGTGGTGACCTTGTCTGTTGTGCCGAGCCCAGCCCCGGCAGCAGTGCCTGGCACGTGGCAGGTGTTCCACAAGCATTGGGTAGATGAGCTCCGAGAGCAGCCCCAGCTTTCGCAGGTCAGGGACTGAGAGCCAAGGTGTAGGATCACACATGAGCTCCTCCATGGGACCAGCCCAGGGCCCTCTGGGCTTGGAAGGCTCGCCTGCAGTTCAGTGGTGGCTACCTAAAAGGAAGCAGGAGAGAAGAATATAAATCTGTCAGCTGGAGATTTTAGTTATTTAAGAAAACCAAAAGTTAAAGTTTAGCTGAATTTGTCATGTCATAAGCCGAAGATACCAAATGGGTTTTGTTCACGTAGTCTTTATAGACCAAAGGATAACTTTAAAAGAGAGACACACTAGTAATGGCACATGTATTATACATTCACAGAGCGGTATCCAGATGGTGTCAAAAATCAGGAGGAAATAAAGTGACGGCAACATGGTTAAAGCAGGTGTCTAGGCGAGCCAATACTCAAAGCTGGGCCACCCACGTGATTTTAACTCTGCAGGAGAAATATGCAGTGCCATTGAGAAAATTTAAGTCCCACCAACTCAGGACTGTCCTTTGCGGGGTAGGGGGTGGGGGACTTTTAGCTGGATCTGATTATCTAGTTTAATGGATCACACGGAGGACAACGTTAGCTGAGGAAGAAAATGGAAGTGGAAGACTTAATTGCTAAGGTAATGTCACTTCCTCGCGCGAGGACCCTAAAATAGACGATGAGCACATTCTCTTCAATATTTATTCATCTGATTTTCATGGCAATTGGTTGGTTCCTGACTATGAAGGGAGAACTTGGCAGAACAGGCTAACTCCGAGAAATAAGGACGCGACACAGTTCTGCACGGCCATCACCCCACAGCCCGCTCACCGCGGTGCCCGCCCACGGAGCGGAGGTCACCGGCCCTCAGCCTCCGGGGCCAGGTGTGGAAAATGCCACTGTGAGTAGCAACTGAAAGAGCCGGTGATTGGCTCTGCCAGAGGAGCCCAGAGGCAGAGTCTGGGACGCTTGTTTTTGTGTTTTCGGCATCTCCACATGATTCTGCAGCCCTCCAAGTGTCTAAAATTACTCCCTGAGTCACTCGGCGCTGACTCATCCTCTGGCCTTGTGGGGCCCGCGCAGGGAGGCGCGCGCTGTCGGAAGGGCCTTGATTCCTGGGTCTCAGGTCACCGCCCACTGGAGCTCATCACAAAGCGAGGACAACAGTGCTCTTCCCCCCCCCCCCGGGGGGGGGGGGGCTTAGCAAAGCACCAAGTCCCCTCACCCCGCTGCATCTGCACAGCCCTTGTTGTTCTCAACTCCTCGAGTCTGGATTCTTAGGGGCTTCCTCAGCCCCGCCCACCGAGTCCCGTGCGCGCCGCTCCACTCCCCGGGGCCCCTGACCCTTGGATGACTCGGGCCGCAGGCCGTGTCCATCACGGTCCATTTCCCTTCTCTTGCTCTGTCTCAGAGGACGGGAGGGCTGCAGGAGGCTCCCTGGCTCTCCCCCAGCAGGTGCCAACCCCCCTCCTGATCCACTGAAGCCCTGGAGGATGGAAGCTGCCCAGAGCGAAGTGGAGCCCCCACAACTTGCCTTTTCAATGTTTATCCATTCGATTTCAAAGACGCAAACAAGATAGCACCGGCAGGCCAGCAGGCCGCGTTGGGAAGCACCAGCTCCTCTCCTGCCCCACCCTCTGAGAATTCTCTTCCCAGCTCTCTGGGTGGGGCCACCCTACTCCACAGTAGTTTAGGTATTGTTTCTTGATGTTGCAAAGGGAAAGCTAAAGTATAGGTCACTTTTGCTGCTGTTTTCTTTTTTATTCATTTATTTATTTATTTATTTTAAGATTTTATTTATTTATTTGAAAAACAGAGTTACAGAGAGGCAGAGGCAGAAGGGGAGAGAGAGGTCTTCCATCCACTGGTTCACTCCCCAGTTGGCCGCAACGGCCGGAGCTGGCGCCGATCCGAAGCCAGGAGCCAGGAGTTTCTTCTGGGTCTCCCACGTGGGTGCAGGGGCTCAAGGACTTGGGCCATCTTCTACTGCTTTCCCAGGCCATAGGAGAGAGCTGGATTTGAAGTGGAGCAGCCGGGACTAGAACCAGTGCCCATATGGGATGCCGGCACTGCAGGTGGTGACTTTACCTGCTACGCCACAGCACCTGCCCCTGCTGTTTTCAATTTTCAGCAAACTCTTAGATAATGTAGTCCTTGCTCTTGTGATTTTAAACACATCAAACCTCTTCCTTGTGCCATCAGCATAGACAGCCACAGCCGGTGACTTCGTCCCCTGCCCCGGGGGAACTGGCCCTTCTGATCCACCTGTATCCCAGGTCTATTTGGAGTATTTTTAAAAAATTATTTATTTATTTAAGAGGTAGAAAGGTGGAAGGAGGGGAGAGACAGAGAGCAGGCTATCTGCTGGATTCACTCCCCAAATGCCCTCAACAAGCTGAGGCCGGGAGCCAGGAGCTCAATCTAGGTCTTCCGTGTGGGTGACAGGGGCTCAGTCATTTGATCTGTCACTTCTGCCGCCCAGGTCTGTATTAGCATAAATCTGGAGTCAGGAACCAATGCAAGGAATCAAATCCAGGTATTGTAATGCGAGGTGTGAGCCTTTAACAGCTAAGCTAAACTCCTCACTCCTTGGAGTCTCTTAGAAAGTCTGGAACATAGAACGTTTGTCTCCAGAATCTCTGGAGGGTGACTTGCCAAGCACCCTGTCACCGCTGACTCCTGGGGGGTGGGCGAGCTTGCTATAAGACAGGTGGTTTTCCTGCATAACCACGTCCACCCTCAAATTCAGGACTCAACCGTGATGCCACCCCTCCTGAGGATCTCATCCTCCCGAGCCCGTTTGGGGACCACCCACTGCCCCCAGCCACATTTCCACGGCAGACGGAGCTTGCTCAGAATCATGCACTGTGTTTAACTGCCCTGTCTGTGGCCTGCTTCAGCCCCAGACACTTCCCAGCTTGGATCCCTGTGCCGTGTCTTGGCTCTTGGGCTCAGGTTAGCGTCTCGGCTGCTGTCTCACAGCAATGCCTCTGCGTACGTCTCCCAGCCTCCTGCCAGGTGGGAGTGACGGATGACGGATGCTCTTCACACGGGTCACTTCAGCGGTCCTTCTAATTCAAAACTGCATAACTGGCTCATCTTCCTGTGCTTTGTCCTGCAATCAGTCATTTCTCCAAAGGCCCCCTGATCCCTTTCCATGGAGGATGGTCTTTAGAAATCAAGACTGACTGCTATTGGGGGTGTTGCTGGTCACAAATACTCTCAGTGGACACAGTTAAGGTACACACATGTGTACCCATATACACACATGTACACCTATTATACCTCCATACATATGTGCACACACACATGCACCCACCCCACACACCCTCACATATACACCACAGATGCACACATGCACACATATACACACATACACATTCATAACATATATACACAGTTTATTACATTCACATATGTACACCACACATTCATACACACTACTCATTCATGTACACACGCATTCACACATACACACATACATAACACATGCACAATATACATGCACAGCCCAGTGCATACACATATTTATACCACATGTGTGCACATACACATATGTACACAGTACACCCACACAGAAACGCACACACATGCATGCACACATAGAAGTTAGTACCTGTATTTGTTTCTATATCTATCTGTATGTATTGGGAACCATGAGTTCACTAGTCTTCCAGTTCCCAGTGCGGTCTCCCAGAGTTCGTCCCAGGCTCTCCTCTCTGCAGGTGGAACTCTCTTCTCCCACAGTGAGTCACCTGACTCCTGCCACCCTCCCAGTTTATTTTGTTGACTCCTGTGTGGCTGCTGCCCGCTCCTCTTCCTGGACACTGTGCTCACCCTGCTGGGCTCCAGCTCTCCCCGGCCCACCCTCTTCCAGGCACTCTCCCCTCCTCCTGGACTGTGAACTCCAGGGCTGGCCCGCCCAACCTTCTGCTCTCCACATGGCCTCTGCTCTCTCGTCCTGCTGCCTGGAGCCCAGGGCCACTGGGGTCACCTGCAGCCCTGCAGTGTCTGTGTGTCTTGCTTGACTCTGGGCCTGGCAATGGGCAGGAGCAAGCATGGAAAGGAAGGGGAGGGAGCTCTTCAGAACACTCTGCCGCCTACCACAGGCCCAGGAGCACTTCAAAAATGGGCAGTGAAACAGAAGTAAAAAGCGATTCTAAGTCTGGGGCCGGTGTTGTGGCATAGTAGGGTAAGCTGCCGCTTACCTCGCTGGCATCCTAGATTAGAATACTGGTTTGTCTCCCATCTACTCTGCTTCTGATCCAGCTTCCTGCTATGTGCCTGGGAAGGCTGCAGAAGATGGTTCAAGTACTTGGGTCCCTGAATGGAGCTCCAAGCTCCTGGCTTAGCCCAGCCCTAGCCCTGGCTGTTGTGGCCAGCTGAAGAGTGAACAGTGGATGGAAGATCTCTCCGTCTCTCTGTGTGTGTCTCTTCCTCTCTGCTACTCTGTCTTTCAAATCCTGTTTGCAGTTGGTACTCCAAATGCCCCAGCATGCATCTCTACCAATGAGAACTTTTTTTTTAACTTTTATTTAATGAATATAAATTTCCAAAGTACAGCTTATGGATTACAATGGCTTCCCCCCCATAACTTCCCTCCCACCCGCAACCCTCCCCTTTCCCTCTCCCTCCCGCCTTCCATTCACATCAAGATTCATTTTCAATTCTCTTTATATACAGAAGATCAGTTTAGCATATATTAAGTAAAGATTTCAATAGTTTGCACCCACATAGAAACACAAAGTGAAAAATACTGTTTGAGTACTAGTTATAGCATTACATCACAATGTACAGCACATTAAGGACAGAGATCCTACATGAGGAGTAAGTGCACAGTGACTCCTGTTGTTGACTTAACAAATGGACACTCTTATTTATGGCATCAGTAATCACCCTAGGCTCTTGTCATGAGCTGCCAAGGCTATGGAAGCCCCCTTAGTTCACCGACTCTGATCATATTTAGACAAGGCCATGGTCAAACTGGAAGTTCTCTCCTCCCTTCAGAGAAAGGTACCTCCTTCTTTGATGACCTGTTCTTTTCACTGGGATCTCACTCGTGGAGATCTTTCATTTAGGTTTGTGTGTGTGTGTGTGTGTGTGTGTGTGTGTGTGTGTTTTGCCAGAGTGTTTTGGCTTTCCATGCCTGTAATACTCTCATGGGCTTTTCAGCCAGATCCACATGCCTTAAGGGCTGATTCTGAGGCCAGAGTGCTGTTTAGGACATCTGCCATTCTATGGGTCTGCTGTGTATCTCGCTTCCCATGTTGGATCGTTCTCTCCCTTTTTTATTCTATCAGCTAGTATTTGCAGACACTAGACTTGTTTATGTGATCCCTTTGGTTCTTAGTCCTATCATTATGATCAATTGTGAACAGAAATTGATCAGCGGGACTAGTGAGATGGCATTGGTACATGCCACCTTGATGGGATTGAATTGGAATCCCCTGGTATGTTTCTAACTCTACCGTTTGAGGTAAGTCAGCTTGAGCATGTCCCAAATTGCACATCTCTTCCCTCTCTTATTCCTACTCTTATATTTAACAGCGATCTTTACTTTTGGTTGAATACTGTAATCAATACACAGTTATTCTCAAGTGTTGAAGCTTAACTGAAAAGTGATCGCTGTAAATATAGGAGTGGCAATGAGGACTTTTTTAAAGATTTATTTATTTGAAAGGCACACCAATGAGAGAGGGAGAGGGAGAGAGGGAAAGAGGAAGAGAGGAAGAGAGGAAGAGAGGAAGAGAGGAAGAGAGGAAGAGAGGGAGAGGGAGAGGGAGAGGGAGAGGGAGAGGGAGAGGGAGAGGGAGAGGGAGAGGGAGAGGGAGAGGGAGAGGGAGAGGGAGAGAGATCTTCCATCTACTGGTTCACTCCCCAAATGGCTATAACAGCCAGGTCTGGGCCAGGCCAAAGCCAGGAGCCAAGAATACCATCCAGCTCATCTGCATGGGTGCAGGGACCCAGGAACTTGGGCCATCTTCTGCTGCCTTCCCAGGTGCATTAGCGGGAAGCTGGATTGGAAATGGAACAGCCCAGCTTCAAGCCAGCGGACAGGATGCAGGCATTACAGGCTGCAGCTTAATGTGCTGCATCACAACGCCAGCCTCAACAAAGGCATTCAAAAGCCCATAACATCATTGCTACAGACACAAAAATTAAAAA